TAGTGGCCGAAACATGGAGACACGGTGATATTTCGCTATGGTTAAAACATGTGGGTGGTTGGACGAGTGAGATCACAACCGGCGCTATGGACCACCCTTCGTGGAGTGGACGGTTGGAAAATGGAACAAGGCACACGGGTTGAAGGACTACTCGAGATAGGAATTTGTTTCCAATGTAATTTTCCTATTTATTTATTTTGAATAAATGTTGTAGTATCCTTGTGAACATTTTATTGTTGAATAAAATGAATTGTTCCATTTGTGTATATTGAACTCTGTATATTTTAAAATATTCTTGTGTGATATTTTTAATTAATATATATAAGATTCAATAAGGGTGCGTGGTGCATCACGGAGCATTATGTGGAAAATGCTAAAATGGCTTAACGGCCGGAACGAAATGTAACAAGCGTGTCACATGCTTGAAATCCCGTAGAGAACTTTGGTTCTGGTTCATGTAGAACCATAAGGATTTCAATGATCAATTTGTCAAAAATTGGGATAGCTATATAATCGTGAGCGTCACAGCTCAATTGTTGAATATTTTAATTAATGTTCTGAGAACGATTATATAAGCTTGATTCAACTAGTCGGAAAATTTGGTTGATTTGTTCTCGTTAATTGTGTTATAATTAACTTGATCAAAAATTCCAAATTATACTAGTATATTTAATTTGAGACAAATTGTGTTTTGGTGAATAGTGCTTTTGTAGCACTAATGGAAAGTGAAATTTAATTTGGCACTTTTAAGTGCAAATTAAAACACTGTAACAGTGCTATTAAGCACTAGGTAGAGTGCCTAATTAGGCACTTTCGGCCACTTGGTGGCTGCACCTTTAGGTGTTGAAAACTTAAGCATTTGGTGCTTTGGTAATATCAATAAAGGTGCTAGATTATGATTGGTCTTAATGCTAATTTACTTAGCTTAAACCTTTCGTATGTGGCTAATTAAATTTAGCGTTGTAAAAGTGCTATGTGATTAGCACGAAAGGAGGTTTGGTTAATTGTGTAATTAACTAATAATCCTAGTGCTAAGCAGCACTGAAATTATAAATTAAGCAACCGAACGTTGCTGTGAGTTTATAATTTAAAGCAATAGAGATTGCTTTGGAATCGGTGCGCTAGTTTGGCAGCAATGATTCGTGCTTTGTGTAGCATGTTTCGTGCTTCACTACTAAGCACTGACTCGTGCTTCAATGTCGGAAGCACTGATTCGGGTTTGTGGCCTTTCGGTCAAAACCGAATGGATTCGTAAGTGCTGATATGTTCGCACCTACGAGATGTGCTAACGTGTAGCACATGTTTATTCTTTATAAGAATAAAAGGATAACCAAATTAATTGTGGATTAATGCGGTTATGAACGATCGATGTGGTGAACGTGAAACACCTTTTGGTGATTTCGGCGCAAGCGTTAGTATTGTACTCAAGAGTACGGTACGGTATTCACCTCAATTGAACGTTGTTGCCGAACATAAATATCAAGACGTTGATAAGTTCGGGTCTACCTCAAAGTATGTGGGGTGAGACAATACTTTGGACAAGTAAATACCTTTTAAATAAGGTTACCTGCATGAAATTCTTACGAATTGTGGGTACGTAGGAAGTTTCCTACTAATGCCCGAAATGTGGGGGTGTCTTGCCAAAGGTGTGTATTGGTTCTTAGTACACGAGTCCTATAGTTTGGATGTACATAAGAACACGATAAATTGAATCAAGAAATTTATTGTTCTTTAGAAGATATATCTCTATGAAGGTTCAATACCTAGCACGTTGAAATGAAATTTCGACGTAGCTATGGTTGAAGGGTATGAAAGAGAACCCGAGCTCAAAGCTAGACGTAGCAAGAGAGCTAGGATTGAAAAATCCTTTGGTCCAGATTTTCTGACGGACATGTTAGAATGTGATGCGCACAGTCTAACTTGTTTACTAGGAAATAAATTGAATTTTCTGACATGGTTGTTAGAAAATGAGCCTCGAACATATGTAGAAGTGGTGACTTCTACAGATGGACCAACCCGAGAGAGGCTACCGAGAGTGAAGTAGATTCTATCTTAAAGAATCATACTTGGAACTGGTTATTCTTCCTTCAGGTGTAAAACCTCTCGATCCTAAACGGATCATCAGTCGGAAGATAAAACCGGTTGGTTATATTGAAGTAAATGGCCGGGCTTGTAATTATAGATTGCATGCAACGCGAGTGCCATGGTTACGTCGATATACATTCTCGTGTGATGAGAATGGAATCCATTAGAATGATACTTGCCAAAGCCGTTTAGCGAGACTTGGAAGTTCATCAAAATGGATGTCTCGCTTTCTTAGTAAACATGGAACGACCTGAGGGTTTGTGGTTCCACGATGTGAAAAGAAAGTGTGTAATTGGTGAGATCATTGTATTGTTCGAAACAATTGTCTTAGTATTTGGCATGTGAGGTTTTGATCATGCAATGATAACCAACGAGTTTAGTATAAATAAAAGTGACTAGTGGCTCTACGTAACGTATACGATAGACGGTGATATCACTGTTTGTTTATACACGATAAAATCATCGTGGGTAGTAACGATCAAATGATCAATTCTACCAGAAACATGTTAAAATTGAAATTTGACATGAGAGGTGTGAGTTTGGCAGATTTAATCTTCGAGATTAAAATCGTGAGACTCGTGGTAAGCCAATCTCATCGTGTTGATTGAATCCTTGTAAAGGATGATAATCAAGTGGCTTGGACACCGTTAGATACTAACGTACAACTAGCCAATGATCACAAAGATTGTACTTCTCGTGGACAACACATTCAGATTATTGGTAGTTTAATTGTATCAAACGGGTTGTACTAGGCCAGATATTACCTTTGCGGTTAACGAACTTGGTAGACATTCGAGTAACCCTAGTGTTACGCAATAGTGAGGGTTATGAGATACTTAAGGTATGCTCGTGACTTTGGACTGCACAACATGGGATATCTAGCCGTACTTGGAAAGTATAGCACGGATATCAAAGGACGCTAAGTCCATCAAAGGCTACGTCTTTACGTAGGCCAGTGCAGTCGGTTGGATGAAAATTCTCAAAATGATTTGTGATAGCTAAGATCCGACGGGATCTAAGCTGAGAGCCTTAAACTCGTGTCGCGAACGAGTAGGCCGAATGGCTGTGCCATTTTTTCGGGAATGTTCCTAGATATAAACTCGTACCTCCAATTTGTGTGCGTTGCGATAGTCAAGCCAAAATTGGTTAAGTACAGAGTTAGATGTGGAATGGTAAGTCTAGACTTATAAGTCATAGACATAATACCATTAAACAATGTCTCACAACGGGGGTTATCTCTATTGACTACGTGATGTCGAAAGATAACGTAGCGGCCGCTAACTCGCTAACCCGAGGGTAAGCAAATAGTTGTGGAGAAGTTGGAACGAGGAATGGGTCTAAAGCCCTTGGACTAAAAGTTCTATAGTGGATACCCAACCTAGCTAGCACCTAGGTTCAATGGGACAACTAAATTATGGAACGGAGCGTGTCACTGTGGTGGTCTCGGACTCCCTACCACTCCTCGTTAGAAACAGTGACTCCCGCACGAGGCTAGCATGTTGATGCTTTAATGATTCGAATGTCGGTTGACATATGTGAGTATGCGGGATACTCGGAAAAGAATCACCTATGTGAGAGAGAAGTGAGGGTCACTTCAAAGGAGAATTGATGGGCACAATTCTTCACAAACTCTTGCAGAACCAGGACGGTGACCCACGACCAAAATGGGCACACTCATGAGAACAGAGCATGGTTGGGAGGATCCTGTGTGAGATATGTCATCGTCTACACAAACGGCAGTCGGTTCAAAGACATCGCGTTCTACCGTACAGCCAGTAGAGTAAACATGTCTTTACAAGGGAAGGTTCAAAGGGTATAGTGATCCCTACCTATCCTATGCAGGGATCGACCGTTGAACACAGTTGTTTCCAACTAGAAACGAGATAGGAAAGGCTTGATTCAAGCCCGATCTCGTCTCGTGTGCACCGGCACCTGCGGGCACGAATGTTGTCCGGAAATTTGGAAATTGGCTGGCCTTGCCATGCCACTGGGTTCGGCCATCGTGCCCGGAAATTTGGAAATTGGCTGGCCTTGCCATGCCACTGGGTTCGGCCTTAGTGGCCGAAACATGGAGACACGGTGATGTTTCGGATTTCGGCTTTTGAGCCCGAAAACAGTGTGGTTCCCAGAACCAGTTTGCTTTCTCCTGGACCGTTACGAGATTTAATTCAGGATTAATTCGCAAGGTTAATGGTCAGCTGTTACAACAGTTTTTATCTGATTTTAATTTCAGATTAAATATCAATTTAAGGTTTTAAGGAAAGACAGACACTTTGCCTAACTAGTACTGCTCTTTCTTCCTTCTCCTTCTTTCTTGTTTTGGATTATGCTTTTAAGCAAAAATCCGTTCTCCATCTTGTGATATATTCGTTGGATTGGACTTATAATCTGAGGATTATTAGTTCCAATTTTGGTTGATATATATTGGTATATCTTTTTCGTAGATATACATGTATATATAACCTTTGAGTTCGTTTTATATATATTTGTGTGTATATATATATTTCGGATAAATATCCAATAATATTTTATATACTTGTGTGTGTATATATAAATATTATTTTTGAGATATTAAATCGATTTTGGTTCATTATCTCCAACAGAATTGTCCTATAACCTATCATCAGATGTGAAGAATAATATATTTTGATAACCTTAATATTGTGCAAGGTAGCTATAGGTGGTGGACATTGATAATATATATTAATAATACTTGAATGTGCAGCATTGGTGGAGACAAAGTTTTACAGATGAGAGAGAAATTAAAACAATTTTTTGACAAGCAGATCAGACCACCTTCATCTTCTTTTTATATGCAATGTTTGGAGGGTTGTGGGCACACCCACTCAATACTCATTCATTGACAAAACTAAACAAGCTTGCAGATCTGAATAATTTGAAAGAGAGAGAGAGAGATGGCCTCTGTTGCGTTGACTTCTCTTGGTGCAACATTGGAGCTGGAGTTTCTGCAACCCAATCCTCCAAGGGTTGATCTTAGTGATGCAGCATCCATATGTATCAATTCTTTGTTTGAAAAGATTTCATCTTTGCAAGCTTTTGTGCAAGAGAAATCTGCAACCAGAGATTTGGAGATGAAGATCAGAGACTTTGCACTGGAAGCCGAAGATCATATCGAAATACAATTCAGCAACTTTCTTCTGGCCAAGAACGCAGAGGATCAACAAAATGCTTCTCAGAAACTACAGAAGATCTTCCGAGAAGCTACAGAAAAAGCAGCAGAGTTGCTGAAACTTAGCAGCAGCAGCATAAGCAAAGAAGCAGTGAAGAATGGAAGTGAAGGAGCAGTGATTCCTTGGATAAAACATTCTCCGGTGATGCTTGAGGGGGGCACAATGGTGGGTCGTCGCGGTGATCATATGCTGATAGTTGATAAACTCATCCCCAATGTTCACGAGTTTGGATGTTATGGTCAGTTGTTGACTTCGTTCAAAGTAATCACAATTGTTGGTATGACCGGTATAGGAAAAACAACTTTAGCTACAAGTGTCTATAATGATCCAAAGGTTGCATCCCGCTTTGATGTACGAGGTTGGGTTACCATGTCTCGGGAATACAACAAGACCCAAATGCTACACGACCTTCTTTGGACACTAACAAAGGAGGAAAACATTGATGATGATGATGACGATGACGATGACGATGACGATGACGACGAAGATGACGATGACGATGACGATGACGATGATGATGATGATGATGATGATGATGATGATGATGATGATGATGATGATGATGATGATGTAGTAGCTACACAGGTATACAACTTCTTGAGAGGTAAGAGGTTTCTAATTGTTGTGGATAACTTATGCAACACTCAAGCTTGGTATGATATAAGAAGATGTCTTCCTGCTGAAGAAGATAATTCAAGTCGCGTAGTGCGCACAACGCTTTTAAGAAGGGATTTCGGTGAGAAATATTACTCCAAAAATTACTATGTCCATCACATGTCTTTGCTAAATCCAGAAGAAAGTTGGGAATTGTTTTGCAATAACTCTTTTATAGAACGACATATGGCATCTAAATTTAAAAAAATTAGGAGCCAAGTTGTAGAGATATGTGAAGGATTGCCGCACTCAATACTTGTAGTTGCAAAGCGTCTATCTAAGTGTGGCAACATACAAGAAGAATGGAAGAAGGTTGAAAAGGAAATAGAGTTGCTTGGAGTTCTAGATAGAAGGGCACTCACCCTCACCTACAATCAATTGCCAGAACATTTAAAAGTTTGCTTTTTATATTTTGCAGTCTTTCCAAAACGTAGTGCAATCAAAGTGAAACTAATAATTAGGTTATGGATTGCTGAGGGATTTATTAAGCCATTGGGGTATAAGGAGTTAGAAAAGCAAGCTTATGAGTATTTAAAAGAGCTTATTGATAGAAGTCTTATTCTAATTGACAATTGGAGTACTTCTATAAAAAATAAGAATTGTGCTTATAAAGAGGGCATTTTTTGTGCTTTAAATACTCTGCAATTTCCACGAGGGTCATTTGGCATGTTTGCTAATTCATGCCGCTGGTTAAGCTTATACACACATAAATTTGACTATTATGTGTTGTTAAGAACAAACAACCCTCGCTCCATTTTTTTCTTTCAAGAAGATGTTGAAATATATGTGTCTTTCAAGTTGCTAAGAGTTTTGACTTTTGTTCCATCTTCATTTCTTCAAAGAGTTCCATCACGCTTACAAGATTTAATTTTTTTGAGATACCTATCTGTTACAGAATGGTTTAAGGGTCTTGAGTATGTAGTGTCAAACAATGAAAACTTGCAGACACTTGTTGTTTCTAGTAAAGAATCCCAACTTGGAACACCTACTATTCATTTGCCTTCAACAATTTGGGAGTTACCGCAGTTACGACATCTTGAACTTGACAAATCTTATGTGATTGATCCTCCAAACTTGGATAAAGATAATATGCAAACATTATTTTGGGTGTGTCCAACGCATTGCAGAACAGGAGTACATTGCAGGTTTCCAAACATTAAAGATTTGAAAATCTTTGTTTCTGGAAGCAATCCAATTACTTTGGATAATCTTGAATGTTTGGAACGACTTGAGATGCTAACAATTTCAGTTTTGTTAGGCCATGTTCTAACCCTTCCAAAACCGTTTGTGTTTCCTTCACTTCTAAGGAAGTTGAGCTTGAATGGTATTAACCTTTCGGAGAGGGATTTAACGGTAATTGGCATGTTACCTAAGCTTGGAGTTCTCAAGTTGAAAAATGTCTTTTATGGGAAAGTATGGGAAGTAGAAGAAAGTCGATTTCGTAGTTTAGAATTCTTGCTTATTGAAGATAAAACGCTCAAGCAATGGAGAGCTCATGAAGATTCGTTTCGTTGTATTGAGCGCTTAGTCCTAAGATTTTGTTATTGTTTGAAAAAAATCCCTCATACTATGAAACATATTTGGTCCTTGAAGTCAATTGAGTTCCAGCAGTGTTGTCCTTCCGTTGTCACTTCTGCAGAGGATATCCAACGCGAATCTTACAGACGCCATACTTTTGAGGTTAGAGTTGAAGCTATTTTTACGTTAGAATGAAGCTGCATAGTATAGTTTTCTTTAGATGTGTTTAGGCTTGTCATCCTTAGCTTCAATTCATTAATATATATCTCATTTCACTTTCTTCATTATATTCTTAATTTGCATTATGTTTTTCATATATATAGATCAAAATCGTGGGACCTGAATATGGAGATGAATCACAATATACAGACATAGAAGAGTCTATTCTTTCAGATGATGAATCAGAGTGTACACAAACACAAGAGTTTATACCTTCAGATGATGAATGACGATGACAATTAAGCTAATGTATGGATGCAAGATAGAATTGATCGAATCACAAAAATTGTTGGTTACCAACTAACTACATATTCTTAACATCTATTATTAATTATATATGCCGTTGAGTTAGATGGTTTTAATGGCGCTTTAAATCCAATCTTGTCTGTTCGTGCAGAACCGATAATGCTGTGAAGAATCGGTTCACGACCCTCTGCAAAAAGAGAGCGAAGAACGAGGAGGAATTAGCGAAAGAAAACAGTAATTCATCCATTAATATAATAGGAGGGTTATCTTTCCAAGTTGGTTCAACAGTGATAGCATTTCAGAATCTGCAGTGCCCCTTAAGAAGCAAAGGTAATATTCGTTTAGTGTGCTTCAACTCTATATGGTCATGCTCCAGTAAATAACGTTTGGTTTTTGGCGTTTAGGAGGAGTCAAATTCCAGATCCCCCTGAAAGTTTTAGCAATGGGGAAAAATCAGATGCTATGGCGTTTAGGAGGAGTCAACTCTCCATTTGCAGTAATAGGTCAAAATCTCAAAAGTCCCGGGAGCAATAGAGTCGTTATGATGTGCAACCGTGTGGTGCACACGGTTGCAAAAACGACGCTGTTTTGACGTTTGACTTAAAAAAAAAATAGTTTCGATTGTCGTTAACGGCGTTATGTTGTGTATAATTTGAACTATACATCCATAACTTTATAACTATACATTTATAATTACATAACTACACATTCAGAACTTCATAACTACACATTCAGAATTGCATAACTACACATCCATAACTTCATAACTATACATTCAGAATTGCAAACTACACATCAATTACTTCATAACTATACATTCAGAATTGCATAACTACACATCCATAACTTCATAACTATACATTCAGAATTGCATAACTACACATCCATAACATCATAACTATACATTCGGAATTGCATGCATAACTACACATCCATAACTTCATAACTATACATCCAGAATTACATAAATACACATCCATAACTTCATACCTATACATTCAGAATGTGAAATTATAAAATTATGAACATATGTTTACGTAACTAACGGCAATCGAAAATGATTTTTTTAAACGTAAAACGACGCCATAATTTGTCGGAGCAATGTATCGAGATGAGGACACCAAAGATTCGCATGCCAATGGTAAATAATCTGAAGCAATCTTTGGCTCTTAACACACCATTAGGTTATATAGAAGTCATTTAGACCATCAACTGTTTTACAAGTTCTTTATGTTTTATAATTAACACCGGTTTTGGATCAAGCAGGCTCTAGCAATAAAACCGAAGGAACATTATATTTCTTAAGAAGGATGATCCTAAGATACTCCCATTGATGCAACAAGCGGAACTACTGAGCTCACTGGCACTCAAAGTCTATTCTGAAAACACAAACCAGAGTCTTGAAAACGCTTGCAAGGTCAGGAAAAATGAGCGTTCTTGAAGATTTGCATTACTCTATATTATGTTGTCTATATGTTGTTGTTTGTTCACATGATAACGGCTCAATCAGTGGATCTGATCTTCTTATACGAAAAGAATCTTTTCAGGTACTTGAAGATTTCTCAATCATACAAAAGATGGTGATGTGCGAAATGCCAAATTTCTGAGATGGAGATTCAGCTCAAATCATGAGGTGTCTTGAGCAGACCCTAACTGTAGAAGGCACCTTTAAACCCGTACCATACTCAAACTAATCTCCTTATGCACCAGGCCGGCCCAATTAAATGGCAAAGTGCTGGCCATATTGATTTTTTCATACGAGAGGAGGTTTGAACTCCCGACCTCTCTTAAGAGATGAGAGTGCACAACCACTCACGCCCACCAAGCTGGTTTGCAAGCTAAATATGTTACTTGGGAATGCTTGTCCACAAAAACGGGAGTGCCTAATATATTGTTGTGCAGGCAACCTGCTTTATCGGAAGAGTCTGCAAGGAGCTCAGAGTATAGCACGGGATCAACTTTACTAGCCCACGGGGTTGGTGATAATAGAGAAAAGAGCGAAGCCGAGCTATGTGCATTGCATCAGGACATTGAATCGGGATTACAATCAACCTACATTGATGATGAATTTGGAAAAGGAATTTCTGGCAATAAAAATCCAAACATGCTATGTATATTCATAAATTATTTTATTATAATTGTACATTCATAAAAGCATGCATTAAAGTTGAATTAACATATTATTAACTCATAGTCTCTATATTAAATGTCATTCAATTTTAGGATCCTTATGCCAATATTTGACATTATGGTCTATTAAGACAACTTGTTTGGTTTCTCATTTAATTTTGAGCATATTTTAGTCCTATGTCTAACTTAGAACTTTAAAACCTATTTTGAACAAGTTATTTAGGACCTATCTTGGGTCATTAAGTTTGGATCCCACCATTATTGAGTGATATTTAATAATAATTATATCCATTTTTATTTGACTTATAACATGTTTATTATGATAATAATATTGATTATTATGCATAACATGTTCACTAAGTCTTAATTATTACTGACTACCATATTTTGTTAATGGTATTCATTGTTGGTAATAATATTATGTTTGGATATATTTCAGTACTAGACCATTTTATATCCATGTCATAATTCACTTGGGTCATTGAGATTTATGGGTCTAATTTGAGTGATTAAGCTATTGCTATAATTATTATCTTCGGTCTATTTATGAGCCATTAAGAATTTAAGGATTATAATTGTTATTTTGGCCATTAAGAATTACAACTATTGTTTAAGTTGTTTTTTTTTTTAATCTATCAATAGTTTTCAAGGCCTTAATAATAATATTAATTCTTTTAATAATATAGTAAGTAATATAGTTGGTATATTGTCTTTACCATGGTAATTTAATTATTACCCTAATTTTAGTCTCCCTAAAAAGACATTATGGTCTTGGTTAATTATTGTGTGGTGATATGAGATTGGCATTCAATATCCCCTTAGTTTAGGGGTTAATCTCGTTTATTACCTTTCATAATAATTATTATTGCTTGGTAATGTTTGGAAGATTACCTATTTAATTTGGTGGTTATTGTTATATACAATTCGACGTTGCATTGAGGTTACTAATGGTGAATATGAGAGAATTTTAGCACTATGGCAGATGCAGTTTGCATCATTAAGGTTAGTCATTAAGTTTTATAATTACTTTTTTTTTTGGTAACTAGTGCTACAGTTATAGTTTGACCGCTATATTTTGAAATTGCCACATTTTATTTCTTTATTTAAGAAAATGGAAACATTAAGAATATGTATTACCATGCTTTGGTTGTTATTATTAAATGTAAATGGTGATTATAAAGTTACTTATTATCATTAATATTTTAATGATAACATTATTATTATAGTTTATTTATGAATCCTGAATTGTTTCCAATTATGTTTATGTGGCGATGCTTTAGATAAGAAATTTTTCTTTTAAGGCAACTGACTATTGTCATTACTGTACATTTATTCCATAATTCATTTAGTTTTTGAATTATGATTAATGTTATTGCCCATATTTGGTTAAGTATGAATAAATGAATATTTGGTGTATTTTCATACTCTTTATATTATTTTATGCATATGATCATATTAAGTGCAATTAGGGTTTGAGATTTTGATTTACAAATGATAACATATACTTTTGGTTTATTATTGTTATAATAATTTGTGACTTCCGTTATTGTTGGGAAAAATCCTACTTCCTGTGACAATGAAAATCACAGACCCTGACACGGTCCACAAATACGAGATAACACAATAGCCCAAAATAAATAACAACGGAAGGGACACAAGATTCACGTGGAAACCCCAAAACCACGGGGAAAAACCACGGGACCACCACAACCAAATATTCCACTATCACAAATCTTGCACCAAGTGGGAAACTGTAAGACTTTCCCATATGGGACTTAATTATGTGGTGCAAGTGGACTAGGCCCATTAAGTAATGACATTAGGTTAAGTCTGTATTCCACCAATATGCCTATATAAAGCTTGTATTGATGGAATACAAGACATATTATTATTACATGGTACTCATACTGTTCAGAAAATACCAATACATCATCTAGGGTTCTGAGTCAAGTATGAGACAAAAAGACTAACCCTATCCTGCAGATCTACTGTTCAAGAGACAACACAACAGGATATCAACTAGCTGGAGATCTACAATGTTTCCGCTATCGCTACTACGAGTTAAGTTTTTTCGTAGATTATTCTTTGTATAGTTAGATCATATTTAGATCTCACACAGAAGCCATTTTTCCGTTGGATTGCAGTCATTATGACTTGAATTTTTACAAAGAGGCATGAAGATCTGGTCCCAAAGACCACAATCTAGAATGCAATGGAGCATCCAAGTATTTTTCGAAGATCTGATAAGATAGTCTGCATCCTTTCTGAACTTACCAGCCTAATACAGTGTCTAGAGTGTTGTGTTTTTTTTTTTTTTTTTTTTTTTTTTTTTTTTTTTTTTTTTTTTTTTGTGTCACATTCTTTTGTGTGTTGTATGGGAGAGTTGGATAGGGCATCCAATAATGTTCCCATAAGGCTTTTTTATGGTATTTATTTGCCAATTGTACAAAATATATAGAATGTAGTTACAGATTGGCACATCGCCATTGATATAGAACATATCAAAAAGAAGAAGAATATATTGATAGAAGAGAGGAGGATCAACATCAACCAGTTGAACTGACCCCCCCCCCCCCCCCCCGGTGTTTTTTGCTTCGTGTGTAGAGTTTAGATAATAAGTTTTGTGGTGTTCTTCTGTTTATCTCATCTTTATGTAACATTTAACTCATACTTTTATTGGAGTGGAAAATCCAATATTGCCCTTTGTGTGTATATATGTCTCAGAAAGCAAATTACTTAGAGCTGAACAAGATTTGGACTAAAGATGTGTTGTTAGGATCGAGCGCTTTACTGGCACATTTTCGTGAGGCAGAGTGTTGGACTTGGCCCTTCAGGCCTCCTCCCAACACTTACTTTAGCCATATAGTGCTGGACTTGATCCTTTACCGACTTCTCCCCAACCAAATGCACATATGCATGCCCAGAAACCACGAAAGAATTATAAAACAACACGGTCTTAGTTGCATAGAATAGGAGAAGAGTTGAGATAGAGTTTCTTACACTGTTTTTTGTAGCTTTTGTGTGGCCATGAATTCAGAAACTTCCTTGACGGCACCTACTGGAAATCTGCAATGGGGTAAGTGTTGTGGGGAAGAAGCTAAGGGGTCTGAGAAACTCTCTCTGTTATTTAAGTTGGTCAGAGGAGAAAGTGTGATCATGGCAAAATGAAGAAAGTAGGGGAGGGAACTCTTTGCAAATTA